TCCTTTCTACGCACAAACTGATCGGCTACAGACCAATCTCCTGTTCATCCTATCATGAGCGGATAACAACACTGTTAAAATTAAACTTTGTGGCATGTAACATAAATAGAACAGAGTTATTCACAACCATGGCTATTTGTGAACTTTCTGTGATTCAATTTATTCGGGTAGAATACATCGCTCCTGAAATTCCACAAGTAATGATTATTTTAATACCAGGAATTTAACAGGGACCGATTCAAACTGTACTTTTAGGTACACCTGTAGAAGCTGAGTCTAATGATCGTCCTGATGTGGAACTTCCTGGTTATCAGGCTCAGTTGATTGAAGACTCTGTAAAATATAGTAAGTTCAATGTATCTCTTATCTGTGACTAAGTGTGACCATGCGGTACTATGATGAAAGATTTACTAATATGAGAGACATCCATTAAAGGAAGTGTTTACCATATTTGGTCATACATGTACATTAATTTACATATTATTCAGGTGCTGAATTCGTTTTTTTGAGCCAAATGATGCTGCCCATCTTCCATCATCATGCATCCCAAAAGTCCTTGCAATGTTTCTCTTTTGTGTAAAGTCCCAATGTATGATTATAAAATGGTTTTGTCTGACTTCAGGTGGATCAGCAAAAGTGGTTTTAATAACTTTTAATGCCGGACCAGTCAATATTACATGGGCTGATATGAATCCAAGAGTATCAGCAATTATAGCTGCTTTCTATCCAGGACAAGCTACTGGTATTGGTTTATTAAATGCCATGACTGATCATACTATGCCTAAATTCGGAAGATTGCCCTACACATGGTTTTATTCTGCCGACCAGGTAAGTGAAGACTTACTTAAGGAGAATATATACTGAACTTTGGCATGAAAAGTAACAAAAATTAACACCTAATCAATCTAGCCCCTTGCCCTTAATAACAAATATCCCTCTTACTGGTATAAAGTTAACTTTGCACCAAAAGAGACTTTTGATGCCGAGATTTTAATTCGAGAAAAATGTAGTTTTGTGCATATATTTTGAAGGTACCACCAATAGTCAACTATACAATGGTAGACAGAACATACAGATATACAACAAAACAACCATTATATCCATTTGGTTATGGTTTAACTTATGGTATATTTGTATACAGTCAGCTCACATATAAACAAGAGATAAATGCTGGTGATTCACAAAGTGGTCAGGTTATGGTAGCTAATCGTGGAGAGTTTGATGCCGATGAGGTAATTGCTTTCCATTACCTTTCGCCTTTTTGCTTTACGTCTATGTTTCTTCCTATAGCGAATAGAAAGTTCGTTGTATGTAAAGCAATATTTAAAGCTTAACTCTGAAATTTATTAATCAATGTAGAACAATTGTGCTCCCATATTCATTGGCAATAGACACAGCGTCAGCCAAAGGTTCAATAAATTACCTAATTGTAGGTCGTACAAGTATACCTCAAGTGGAACTCTCCAAGTGTAACGACACAAAATATTCAACTGGTGGATTTCAACAGAGTAACATTGGCCAAGAACGACTTAGCTATAGTGAAATTTTCTATCGCACCACAAGACATGGCTGTATGGACTGACGATAAAGGATGGGTTATTGAAGAAGGTAATGGTGATCATTAATATTTTGGGTAATGCTTAAATACACATAAACGTGTAGCGTATGACAAAGGACAGTAGATTTTCGTGAAAAACCACCAAGAAATGTTTAAAGAAATGCATTATTTTGGGCATTGTATCGAATATCAGTTACATCAATGTCATCAGAGTACTCATCGGATTCAAAATTCCTTTTTTACATTTTTTTGAAATACATAAAAACTGGATGGGATGAATACAATCGAATGAAATGTTTTGTATAATTGTAGGTATAATAAGTTTCTATGTTGGAGGAAGTCAGCCAGGACAACCAGCTAAAAGAACAATGAGAACTGGAATAATACCAGGCACCTTTCAGATTAAGGGAACCAAAATACTTGGTTTTAATTGAACCAAAGAACAGGGTGTTACAATTGGTCTGAATAAAATTGTTAAAAAGCATGTAATTGAATATTCATATCTGGCCTTGTTGATGTATGTACCTCATTGGGCATCTAAGAAATTGTGATCCTCTACCAGGAGGTCAAAACAAGTTGTGAAACGGAATGACTTTGCAGATAGATTTTCGATGCGTTTAAGTTCCAATGATATGGCACATTATCCGTCAGTGATTCGCTGGGATAAAATGATATAATGAAATTGATGTTGCTACAATTTGATGCCTGGTTGTAAACTGCGTTATTTTGTAAATTATACACTCTCTTAGCCCACTCCTCTCAGTATCTGCCCTCACATTGAACGACAAATCTCAGCTGTTATATATGCTGCATCTTTAGCTGTTTTAAACTGATCATCATATTCCAATACATTTGTTTATTGAAATAATTTAATAACATTAATACGGTATTTAGTAAAATCCTAGTATTTTAGTACCAACAATATTAAACTCTGTTGAGATATAATTGGTAGTTCCTGTTCTCAGTACAGATGGTTGTTGACCTCCTACTGATAATATCAATGTTCCTGAAGTTATAAACAATCATGATGCATGAATCATCAAGATTAGAGTTCAGATCAAATAGGGTGATTTGTAACTATAAAATGTAATACGCCACTACATACATTTCATTACAAGCAGAAAAGGAATTGCTTCTGGACGGAAATGATGATCGGCAACAATATTTTCATTGTGGTTTTAAATATTTAATCTACAGAATAGGAAGAGAATATGTTCATTGCTGTGCTCAAAGTACGATCTACTGATTTAATTGTTAGCATAATATCGTAGTTTCTAACGCAATGTTTCGCAATTCGAGTTTCTCTTCGACCCAATAGGAGACTTATGAGGCTCCAAAAAACTTTTGTCTTAAGCATGTACTGGTTAAGCAGGTAATACTTTGATTCAACTTACCTTCCTCAACAACCCAACCTTTATCATCAGTATAAACAGCCATATTTTGTGGTGTAATAGTAAAATTGAGATTAAGACCACTACCTTGTGGTACTGTTACTCTAGTAAAATTAACTAACTGTATCTTAGGTGTTGGTACACTAGGTGATTTCCACCCAATATATACTTGTACTACCTATAAATAGAAATTGAAACAAATTGTCAAGACAGCCCATTGGTGGCTTGATCTTAACCATAATGTACTCCATGCACCATCTGATCTTTCGACAGTACTTAAGCTCTATAAATAGCAGTAAAAATAGAGCTCTCCCATCATCTTACCTCGTCAGCTGTACGAGATCCTTTATTGTTAAAATGAACACCAATATTATTATCATCACCAGCATTGACATTGGTTACCGTTATTAATTCATCATAGTTGAATGTAGAATATGTTAAACCATAACCAAATGGATATAAAGGTTGTGATGACATATATCTATATGTTCTGTCTACCATTGTATAGTTAGTAATAGGTGGTACCTAAAATGTATATCAGATATGTTTTGGACAGTTGAAACACAGAGATTACAATCATGTGCATTGCCAGGAAATCCATAAATCCACTGAATGATCCACATTATCATTAACTGAGAAAAATAAAACCCTGTTTTCAGTAACTGAACGCTTGTTTCGTTTTTAATTTGTTTTTTTACTACGAAATATCGCCCTTGTATACAAAAATATGACTTTTATGTGTCTTCTACAATTGATTAGATTAGAAAAAACCCAGACCTGATCAGCTGTGTAATACCATGTATATGGTAATCTACCAAACTGTGAATAACTATCACCAACCATCACATTCTTCAGAGCAACACCAGTAGCTTGTCCTGGATAGAAAGCAGCTATAATTGCTGATACTCTTGGATTCACATCAGCCCATGTAATATTGACTGGTCCAGCATTGAATGATATTAAAACAACCTTCGCCGACCCACCTGTAACATAATCAACAAATAAATTACAGTGTCTAATTTAGAAATTTTGGTGCCAATTTAAAAGTAATTCAAAGTGATTTGATTTAAGCACTTACTGTTTGCCACGGCATCAGCCATCAGCTGAACTTGTCCACTTGGTAACTCCATATCATGTCTATCATTACCTTCAGCTTCCAGAATAGTTCCTGAAAACGTAAATGACATTACTGTAAACAGGTCATGTAATCTTCTTCACCATACTCTGGAGATTTCAGTACAGATCTGAACTATTAGCAATGGATGTTATACAGCAGAGACTGTTTAATCATTCCATAAAATAATGAATAAAGTGTATGATTTGACGGAAACTACTGGGGATTTTTGTAAAAGCGATCTATGCTGAACATGTTCTTACCTAATCCAAGACAAATAAACACAACATCAACACCATCAACAGCAGATTTGACCGAGTTAGAATCATAGCTCTTACATTTAGCATCATCACAACCTTGAGCAAAGTTAGTACTAGAAGCTAATGATGATAAACCCTGTCTTGGTGTTGTTATAAATTGACGATCTGGTGAAGCTTGGTAATCACCATTCATGATGTAAGCACTATCACCGAAAGGTCCAACAACCTAAACGACAATGATATAAAATTAAAAAATCTCAAAAGTTCATTTCATTACAATTCATATGAAATAAGCACTCTGTCATGATCCTTATTTACTTATCTTTCAGGACTTTGAGTTGGTATTAAAAACAATCAAGACAAAATCTTCAACGTGTCAAACAATTACCGCTATTTTGTTGTAGGACGATTTCTGTAGTGGCAGAAATCCATCATTTTTCAACAAAACCATGGATTTCATTGAAGCTTCCACTGCCAGATCTCTATGAGATTTTTCTTCAATAACATCAGTTACTAATTGAGGCGTAGGGATTCATTTCTGGTGGATCAAATTCTCCCAACCTCATTCTAGTATAAAACAATGGTTTCACTCTCTCTCGTACCAAATCTTCTGTGAGTTTACCCTGAGAAACTGCATCATCTGAAATGGATATTCATGGAGTAAAAACTGAATTGGGCTTACAGACTTCTCATTTCAAGAGCTAGGAGAAGTTTTGTAAGCGACCACTATAGA